AAGCGGATATCGTCCTCTTTTTGGAAGACCAAACAAAGTAGTTTCGCTTTCACAACGAAAAACACAGCGTCTTCACAACATGGCGGCGGCGGCAACAATACTACAGCGAGAATAAAAGTTACACCTTCTTTCTTTGCGTGAACATTTGGGTGGCGTTATGCAAATCTACCCACATCGTGACGTAGACATGTGGGGGCGTGTTAGAACGAGCCGTTTTAGGTAGGCGTGGTTGACTCTTAACTTTTAAAAAGAATATCTCTTTGGATTTGAGGCTTTAGTCTTTGCAACTTTACAGATCTTCTTTATGCACCAAGAGCTTGTAACACTCCAAAGAGAAAGGACAAATTGAAATCGCATCATATGACCCCTTTAAGATTCTAATAATTAAATTTTAAAGCACAGCACTTAAACAGACTTTTAAAGCACTGGAACACATTTTTATCACTCGCCATGGTGGCAACTCTCAGACAGGTTGTAGCCTAAAGCTTTCAGTGACAATGTGGATTGATGTAATTGGCGGACATGGTGCGCTACAAATTCTAAGAGAACCAATCAAAAGCATCACAATAGCTTTACTAAACTGCCTTTAAATGGCAGGAGGCATTGTGCACATCAAAAACAGGCAAAGCAACAAACTAATATTATTCAACATATCCTAGCTTTTTACAGAAAATATTCATATGTAATCCCCTTTATAATCGTTAACATTTTTATAAGTTACTGTAATTTAATTACACATTTTTTTCTCTGTATCTGTAACAGATTACGGTTACATTTATTTTGTAATCAAATTACGTAATTCTGTTACATATAACTAGTTACTCCCCAACACTTCTTTCACTTCATGTACTTACAACACTAGAAAGCACTAGAAAGTTTTCCTAGCATTAGCAGGTCAAATTAAGCGCCAGAGAAGGATGTTTTCACCCGACATCTACAAAACTGGCAGAAACAAACACAAAAAGAAAAACAATTGCATCTGATGAGCCGCTTTTCCACAACAGCAGACTCTGGAATCAAATAAAAGTATACTTCTTCTTGGCCGGTGACTTGCTGTCCTTACGGACGAGGAGGTAATTGCGTTGCCCTGTGCGTGAGTGTAATCTAATGATCTCAGAATGATTGTAGGTCTTGCGTTACCCTTTTAATTCAATTTCAAAGTTAATAATCTCACAATGACTTGATTTTGGTAATTTGAGGCCGATAAAGCCTCCAACAACAGTCACTGGGGCAGACATTTAAATTACATAATGCTATACATCCACAATGGTGAAACTTGAGTGAAAGCGAACCGTTTCCAGATTGGCGATTCCTCTTCGTTTCAATCTGGGGGAGTGTTGAGAATCTCACATGCATTTGAAGTTAATATGTCGACTTAACTGCTGGCTCGATTGTACAACGTCGGATGTCTGAAACATGACCATGCCGCCGAACACGCCAATAGATAACGGTCCACGTTAATGAGAAAGTGGCGTGCCTCACGTCTGTCAGCGACCCCACATACACTTGACCTTCCAAACAAGGGCTTAATTCTACCTTTAGGGTTTTTTTAAAAGACCAGAATGAAAAGTGCTTATTGATGCAATTAATCATGAGTTTAAACTGGCTCCAGTTGCAATAAAACCCAGCCAATTACATGATAACTCGGTTCTGACGGCACTCACTCAGTCACTCGCATCCCCCCCGTCTAATTATTCCTGTGCCATTCCCAGTAAGGAGCCGAGATTTACTCATCAAAGGCGAACACAAGTGGCACTAGAGAACATCTGGAAGTCTTCACTCAGCATCATACCCTGGAAAACCTTATAACACCTGTTTTATATATTAAACAATACACCGCGTCCCTGCACAACTCCCAGTTTCCTACATGCCGGGCTCACGGTTTATGCCATGGAAATCCAGTCACATTTGTCCTGCGTTGCTTGGCGACAATGAAATTGAAAAGACTTTTAAATTAATTTAGAGACGTAACAAGAACATATTTCCATCATGCTTTGGTTTGCAAAGGCAAAGCAGTTCTTACTGAATTTTTGGAACAAACAACACGCAAGAGATGGGAGTGAAATATCTCAGGATGTTATGCATTTCCAGGGAGCTCTTTTTGTAAAACAAGATAAATCTGGTGTAAAATGAATTCAAACAGTGATTTAGTGCTAGCCGATAACTGAATAACATCACTGTAAAAAGTAAACAAAAACAGCCATGCAAAACAACTATTGCAAATTGCTTATTACAGAAACGGCTTAACAACCAGTTAGAACACCCTAGCATAGCAACATCCAATAGCACCTTAGCAACCACCCAGAACCCCTTAGAATCTACATAGAATTCCTTAGAAAGCAAAAAGCCCCTCAAACCTGCTGAGGGTAACAACGGTATAACAACTGGTCAGAACTCTGAAGTAACTGAATAAAAACCTACAGAACACCTTTGCAACCACCTAGCAACCACATAGTAACGTTGTAGGAACACAAAAAAACCCCCCTCAAAGTTCCTGAGGGTAACAACGCCACAGCAACTGGTCAGAACTTCCGTCGTTACCAATAGAGTTCAATGGAACGAACCACCATAGTTAGCTAACGATGCTTTTGGGAAACGCACCACAGAACTCCGAAGCAACTGCATAAAAAAAACAGGCAGAACACCTTAGCAACCACATAGCCACACCCTAGCAGCCACATAGTACTGTGCCAAAAGCAACTCAAAACACCTTAGCAACAGCATAGCAACACCTCTGCATCATGGCAGTGAGTTGCACACTGATTTATCAGTTTCTTAAAAAAACACTTACGCTAACCATGTTTTATATTTCACCAGACTACATAAGAAGTCTTTCTGTGAGTCTAGAAGTGATCTAGTGCTTTGTAAGTTGATAATTGAATTACATCCAGTGTTGAGCAAGTTACTTCCAATATGTAATACATTAAATATTACTAGTTACTGTCTTTTGAAAGTAATTAGTTACATTACAATATTACTGTCTCTGAATTGTAATGCGTTACACTACTTTTGAGTTACTTTCACCAAAATATCCACAGAAGTATTATAAAATGCCAAAATGTAGTTTATTGCTGCTCATTCTACATCCGGTGGAGGGTAATGTGGTAGGTCTATAAAGCATAAAATTATAAAATCATATTTAGATACCGGTATGTAGGTCTACATTAATGTTACGTTGTAGTTTAGGTTAAACAAACTGTATTATTACATTCATAAATAAAGCGAAATGTTATAATGTACAAACAATAAACACATTATCTAGCCTATAGGCTATAGTTTAAGAAGAAAACAAGAATGAAAATGTATAAGTTGCTAAACAGGCCAAAACGAATTAGGCTAATTCAATGCGAAACTGAAAGCAAGCGTTCTCGTGCAGCCCACCTCTCTCATTCGGCATTAATCCAATTAAATGTGTCCATATTTGAGATGTATTTGAATGCTAAACTATTATTTATGATATAAACCAGGCTTACTTAACGCACTTAAAAAACATCCTCGTCACATGAGCAAATGTGTGTTTGGCCCGAGCTCAGGCTGAATGGCATGGATTGTACTACGCAGTACGCACTATTAACCAGTGTATCTATATGTTTGGTTGACTGTATTTTATTCTGAAAATTAACAGGCTGCAACGTTTGCAATGCTGTAGATGTGTGTGCGTGAGGCGCCGACGCGATCGAACAGCGGAAACAAACAACAAAAAAAGTCCTTTTTGGTCATACAGATCTTTCCAAACTGCAATGTGTTTACTTTTATTTCTGTCATCTCGGTTTCCTTTCCGTGGACTTTCGTAGAGTGCCGCGCCACACAAATAGCCTATGAACCAAATTCAGCATATCTCTCAGTCTTTTCCTTTCGTTTTGCTAATTAGGCTGTCAAATATTTCGCATATTCATTATAATACTATGATTTAATAAAAACAAATTTTGTTATTTTTAATTAAACTTAATTTTGCTTGTCTGCGTTGCGCTCGTCCGCTGTATTTTTTCTCCTCTCTGACCCGCAGCTCTCTTCGATAGCTTAGTGTTAGTGGCACCAGTCCAGGTGTTTCCAGGTTTTACTCGCGCTATTTCTCCATGTTGAGAGTTTGGTGTCGCACATATTGCACCTGACTATGCATTCTTATCCTTTTCTCCGATTAACTGAAAATAACAGGAGTGTGTCCATCTCACAAATGTAGAATCCCTCTCTGCAGTCATCTCAACCATCTAATTTCAGCAACAGGAATTTTTTCTCCTATGCTGTTTTGCGGTGTTAAAAATTCACCAAATAATTTTGATTTAAAATATGTTGTAACTTGCGTTACTGAGATTGTAACGAGTAATTATATTACCCAAATTGTATTAGTAATGCGTTATATATAACTGCGTTCCAGCAAAAAGTAATCTACTACTGTAATATTATTACTTTTGTAATGCGTTACTACCAACACTGATTACATCACAATGAAAAGTAACAAATATAAGTATTTAAAACAAAAACAGCCATACAAAACCAACATTGCCAGATTTTCTGGCAGCTGTTGGCTTGGGAACCATCAAGTAGGCCATTATTGGTAAATTGCTCATTACCTGTGAATTGCAGATTGACCACAATAGCAAAAGCCTCTAAATTGGCTGTGAGAAAGCCTCAAAGCCTCCAAAAGTCATTTCTCAAACGCAGGCTAGCACTTAAGACACCCACACCCCTGCGCCTGATGGAAAATTATAACTTGCAGTCAGCGAGCTGCAAAGTCGCATATGCGAAATAAGCAGGCATTTCTTCAGCTGTAAACAGAATTTACGGAAAACAAAACAAAATTAAATCTCCTTTGTATTTCTAAAAAGGATCGAAATTCCGCTTATTTAATTCTCCAGTAGAGTTATGTGGCTTTTATGAGGAAAATTACACTAACCACAAATTGCGCTAAACAATTCCAATACTTTAGGGCTTGACCACTTTAAAATGGGGCTGCGCTGCGATTATAAATATAACTCTTTTACGGCTCTGTTATTACGCACTGAGAAGGGGGAGAGCGGGCCAATCTTGTGGCTGTAGCGCCTGATGGCCTCTCTGATGTGGGCTGGTTGGATGGCACTGCTCTGAGCCTCCGTGCCACAGGCCGCCGCGCTCTGCAACAGAGAAGACAGAGAAAATACAGCTCACATTATTGCTAATTCAAAAACACGGTGGGAGTCCTGCAGTGTAGTGCACAAACACAGCCCGGCGAGGACACGGTGCACACAAACACACACTTTTGGGAATCAAAATCGGCCGGCGCTTTACCTCTGGAGAGATATAAATGCTGTGTCATTTGATGCTTTATGACCTCGCAGCACAGGGTGGTTCTGATATATAGAGGCCTGACAGTAAACGTTAGTGCTGTGTGTGATTGGCTGTAATTGCAGTGTCTCTGAAGTCATTGGAGGGAAGGGAACAATTTCAACTCGGTATCTCTTAGCAGACGAGGGAAAAACAACTTCCCTATTTGGATGTTTGCAATAAACATCAGAGAATCTGGAGTCAGTAAAACAGGACGAGTCGGAAAATATTGAGTCATATTTCTTGCTAATGTTTCCACTGCATATGAAGAGGCTGGAATCTATGATAAAATAACCTCTGGGTTTTACTTCTAATGTAAAATAAACAGCATTAGGTTGTTTCTTTGGTTTCCTGAGTGGCCCATTGGTGTGAGATTAGGGCGGGATTATCTGTTTGTTTGACCAATGGCAGACGGGAGAATTTTGCAGTAATAGATTGAACCACCTTCAAATGTAACATAAAAGTTAAGAATTTAGTGTAGAAATTGGCACCACTAGTCATTTGTTCACATTGAACTAATTATTAACACATTGAAGTATATTTTAGCTAAGAATTATATACAATAATAATAATAATAATAATAATATTATTATTATCTAAAAATAATGTAATTATTTATTAAAACGTATTATTAATAGTACATTGTTTGAGAATTTAATCATCATATACAGTACATACATTCATGCTTAAATACTATAACAATAATAATTTAAATAAACTCTTTATTATTATTAATCATTGACATTTATGCATTTACCAGATGCTTTTATCCAAAGTGACTTACAAAAGAGGAACAAAAGCAATTTGTCACTGAGTCAACAATATTTGTAATATACAATGCCATAATATTTAGAATTTATTTTAGAAATAATATCAATGATAACATGTATTATTATTATTATTATTATTTCTACTAATATTATTATTGTCTTATGATGATTAAATTCTCAAGCAATGTATTATTAATAATAAATTTCAAATTAATTAAATTATTATTTATATTATTTATTCATTAAAATGATTATTTAATATAATAATAATAATAATATCATTATTATTCTATATAATATATATTTCTCAGCTAAAAAATACATTAAAAATATATAATTTTATATCATTTACAAAACCTTTAAAGAAATCATACATTTTACTGTCCATGTTAAATGTGAATAAATGACTAGTGGTGCCAAACCGACACACTTCACCTTATGTTATATAACAGAAATATTCCTGGTTCACCACTACTTAAAGGTAAAGCGTGTTATTCCTGGAGAAACAGGTAGCCCCGCCCACAACTCACCCCATTGGTTGAGCCTATTGTTATGTCTGGCCCAGTCGGGTTTCTCAAATAAACACACTGCAATTCCATTAAACAAACACTATTGGTGCAGTGATCACACACTCATCTGTAATGCACTGGAAGCTAGCTAGGCTATAGATGATCAGTCAATATTTGTGTACCTTCTTCCTTTTCCTCTGTTTAACCTTACTGCTGCCATCTTGGTTCGGCCCACCGTTGCCCTGGGCCATGGAGTGCATCTTTCCCTGGTGTCCCGTCAGCGGGCCGCTGGGAGTGGATGGCGGTGTGTTTTCCGGAGAGTCCGTCTCCTTTTTGGTGCTTGCAGCCTAAAGATAAGACAGAAAAATCACATACGTGAGCACAAATTCATTATTATTTTTAAAAGAGTGATGTTAGACGACTGATACACATACAAAATCACAATGTGCCCACCCTTCTCATACACAACACTCGCTTTTAGGCAACTTGTGACGTAAAAAGGTCACGGCTAAAAAACACCACCCTGAAAAACATCACCTGCAGTCTTACGACACGTCTTGGTCCTATCACTCAAACCACAGGGTCATTCTGTCACTCTCACCACATGGGAACGCGACAGACCCCCAAGGTTTAGGAGAAAAACAATACTGGAATTCAGGCTAAAAAATAACATGTGCTCTTCCAGACCCGGAGTGGCCTTGGCCGAGTCCGGAAAAAGGGAGAGAGAGACAGATGAGGTTTTTGTGGTTTCAGTAACACAGAGGTCCATCCATGGAACGGATCCTGCAGCTCAAAACCACCTTGGACAAACTTGGCGGTCCTGCTTGGCAAGAGGTCAAACCCGCGGAGCAGGACGCTCTTGTTTGGTTTTCTTGCTCGGAGAAAGCTGCTGACATGACCGTTATCACCAGTAAAGTCATTTGAACTATTCTATAGCATCACCAATCAGCAACTAACATAATAAAACATTTTAATAGTGATTGACTTAAAGGAACAGTTCATCCCCAAAAAATAAATAAATAAATAATAAAAAATTAAAATCCTGCCATCATTTACTTTTGAAAACAAAAATGTTCATGCTAGTCTTTACTCTGCAATTTTAGGAGCTTGACTGCATTTGTCAATTCATTTTCATTGTTTTCTGCACGAGTCCCCTTGAGTCTGTGTGTATTCAGGTTTAAGTCCCCACAAGGATATATAAACCAGTATACACACACACACACTATTATTGGGGATCATTGCTTTAACAACAATTTATTTGTCAATTCATTTTCATTGTTTTCTGCTGAATAAATGATGACAGGATTTTTATACACACACACACACACACACACACACGTCTGGTCAGCTATCCTTGTGGGGACTCTCCATAGGCGTAATGGTTTTTCTACTGTACAGACCGTATATTCTATTGCCCTACACCAAACCTACCCCTCACAGGAAACTTTCTGCATTTTTAGATTTTCAAAAAACTTAATTCTGTATGATTTACAAGCTTTTGTACCCGTGGGGACCACAATTTAGGTCCCCATCGTGACACGAGTCCCCATGAGTCTGTGTGTAGTCAGGTTTAAGTCCCCACAAGGATATATAAACCAGCATACACACACACACACTCTATTATTGGGGATCATTGCTTTAACAACAATTTATAATTTCGAAATAAAACATCCACAGTGTTATTTTAGCATTATTTATATACTATTATAGTATTAATTAATATTTAAAATTTTCTTTTAATTTTATATTTTCATTTAATTTAATTTTAGTAATTTTGTCATGTATTTTTGTCATTTTGATTTTTTTTTATTTCTATTTATTTTCATTTCCGTTTTAGAGTATTTTAGGACATTTCCAATTTTCATTTAAACTTTCATCTAATGTTATTTAAACTTTATTTTTAATTTAGTTTTTAATAGTCATTTAGTTAACAACAACAACAACAACAACACTGATTACCAAAAAGTAAACTAAAAAGCGATTTGTTTACCTCAGCCGAGGAATTGCAGTACTGGATGAAAGTTGCTGATATGGCGTGTTGAAAAGGATCGCCTGTTTTGGGAGTCATATCTTGTTTAACCAACAGGGCAAGGTCAACAACCTAAAATATAAAACCATATCAGCTTATGAGTAATGGCACTTGATATGAAGAACAAGATGATAATATTTTTCCCAGGAAACATTATATTGAACGCTCAAAGCACTGGAACGCTTCCGGGGTCTAATTTCAGGGGTTTATTGCACTGAAAAAGGGACTGAGCGAAAGTAAAGTGGCAATTTAGCAAAAGTCAGAGTGATTTCCTGAAATGAGACAGTGTGTCGTTTTAGTTCATCTGAAGCACAATGTGATGTCATGCTCCTCGTTTGGCTGGGTCTGACAGCAGCTCACCTGGGCCACCGTCTCGTAGGCCAGATAGGACAGGATCTCCATGGACATGGCATTGGGCTTCACATCCAGACTGCTGCAGTCCAGCCACTCACGGAATTTCGAGGCCTTCTTGGCTAAACAGAGCAGACAGTTTGAGTCATTTTGAGTGAGAACATGATGTGCTGATGCACACTATAAAAAAAATGATTGTAATTTTCAATGTAAAAGACTCTAAAGGTGTTAACAGTAAAAACCTGTTAATTGGTTCCCTTACTACAAATGGTGAAAAACTTTAAAGGGGTCATATGATGTGATTTCAATTTTTCCTTTCTCTTTGGAGTGTTACAATTTCTTGGTGCATAAAGAAGAGCTGTAAAGTTGCAAAGTCTCAAATCCAAAGAGATATTCTTTATAAAAGTTAAGAGTCAGCCACACCTACCTAAAACGCCTCGTTCTAACATGCCCATATGGTAAGGGACGTAACATTTCCATCACACGCTTGAGGTATTCAGCCAATCACAACGCACTGGATAGTTGGCCAATCACAGCACACCTCGCTTTTCAGACCGATGAGCTTTGTAAAAATCGACGCGTTTCAGAAAGGCGGGGCATAGAGAAGAAACAATAATGTACAGTATTTGGAAAATAATGTTTTATTAACCTTAAACCACATAGACACCTTTCATTACACCAAATACACAAAATAATGTTCTTTTTAGCAGCATCATATGACCCCTTTAAAGGATTAGTTCACTTCCAGAATAAAAATTTCCTGATAATTTACTCACCCTCGTGTCATCCAAGATGTTCATGTCTTTCTGTCTTCAGTCGCAAAGAACTTAAGGTTCTTGAGGAAAACATTCCAGGATTTTTCTCCATATAATGGACTTTAATGGGGATCAATGGGCTGAAGGTCCAAATTACAGTTTCAGTGCAGCTTCAAAGGGCTCTACACGATCCCAGCCGAGGAATAAGGCTCTTATCTAGCCAAACGATTGGTCATTTTCTTTAAAAAAAAAATAAAAAATCTATACTTTTAACCACTAATGTTCATCTTCAGCCCGTTGGTCCCCATTGAAGTCCATTATATGGAGAAAAATCCTGGAATGTTTTCCTCAAAAACCTTAAGTTCTTTGTGACTGAAGAAAGAAAGACATGAACATCTTGGATGACACGGGGGTAGAGTAAATTATCAGGAAATGTTTATTCTGGAAGTGAACTAATCCTTTAATAAAACCCTAATGGGATATAAAATACTGTTACATTTACAGTATATTAACATCGGTTAATAAAATGTACCTTTTACTGTAAATTTAAGTTAAATCTGTAAAACCTAAAACTATATAATGAAGAATTATCGGATTTATCTTGTTCCACTGGCAAGGATAGCTTACAGAAGATCTGTTGCTTAAAAAGGGGGAATGGGAAGTTTCAGAACAGCAAACTACCTATCAGAAAGTAAGTAGTATGCAATATGCATACTGTGCACAGTAGGTAAGTTTCCTGTATGTATGGAATATGGATTACCTGTTTAGCAGACACTTTTATCTAAAGTGAGGGCAGTTTGTCCGAACAGCAACTATTCGTAGTAAACAATGCCAAATTTCAGTAAAAAACTGATTAGTAAACCAATACTGCCAAAGTGTATAGTTAAAGAAACTATACAGTATATCCTACAATGCAATGCCCTTGATTTGACTTTCCATTTCCAATGTGGTAAAAACACCAAAAATCAAATGCAATTTCTTAATTTGATTCATTACTTGTTCAGACTCAAAAAAGACATCAAATTGAATTAAAAATGCAAAATGTTTTTACTTGTTAGATGAAAACAGTTCAATTGCTGAACTGAAGGAATAGATCAACCAGAAATGAACATTTGCTGAAAAATACTCTCCCTTAGGTCTTCCAAGATTAGGATGAGTTTGTTTCTTCACAGATTTGGAGAAACGTAGCATTGCATCACTTGCTCACCAATGGATCCTCTGCAGTGAATGGGTGCCGTCAGAATGAGAATCCAAACAGCTGATAAAAACATCACAATAATCCACAAGTAATCCACACCACTCCAGTCCATCAGTTAATATCTTGTGAAGTGAAAAGCTGCAATAATCAATAATCCATAATCATGCTTCCTCCAGTGAAAAAGTCCATCCCCTATTTTCCTCTCACATCAAAATCCACCCACATATTTGTTTAGAACAGCTTTAGACTTTTTGTTCACTCATAAATGGTGTTTGATCTGTGCATATTTCTCTCCTGATTCAGATGAGATTACTTTTTTTATTGGAGAAAGCAATAGTTTGGATAGAGGGCTCTCATTTTAGCTGAAAGCAATGATTTAAAGTTTAAAAACATATTAATGATGGATTTGTTTCTTACAAACACACAACATTTGGCTTCTCAAGACGTTAGCTGATGGACTGGAGTGGTGTGGATTACTTGTGGATTATTGTGATGTTTTTATCAGCTGTTTGGACTCTCATTCTGACGGCACCCATTCACTGCAGAGCATCCACTGCTGAGCAAGTGATGCAATGCTACATTTCTCCAAATCTGTTCTGATAAAGAAATAAATGCACCTTCATCTTCATCTGCACAATTTACATAAGTACAATAAGGCATTTAATGTCAGACATACATACCCCATTTAACCACAAATGCTCAGTTTCCATCCTGTGACGTGTTTTCGGTCAGATTTTGTGTGTACTCAGCATTAGTGTTGTGTAACAAGGTTATTGAGGCACATTTACTGTGCTGTTGTCCCGACCTGCAGCTCGATGCCAGTAAGACATCACAGTTACTGGAGCGGCACTAAGCCAGTGAACATGTTATTAGTGCTGAAATGTGGCCTTCAAAAGCCAGCAGTGGTGTGTTCACAATCCCACAGCTGTGTTCTTACAAGTCCTCGGGCATAGAACTGCCAACCGAACAACTCATCTGAGATGATATCTGACGCGCTGCAACTGACATGAGGAGTGCTGCGCTCTACACTGATACTACAAACCATACCTGACCTGCTCATGCAGCAACAAAACGGTCGCATTTATCAATGCATATGTAGTGAATCCTAGAGAAAAAAATTCCTTTAGCTCAAACAGCAGAATGCTGGCAACACCAAGGTCATGGGTTTGATTCCTAAGGAATGTATGAAGTGATAAAATGCACACCTTTAATGCAATGTATGTCACTTTGAATAAAAGTGTCTGCCAAATGGATAAATTAAACAAAATGATTCATGCATGAGAACAAATACTCACAAAAACTCAGCTGCCGACTTTCACAGAAATCACTGTACTGACTAGAATCCATGTTTCTGGTCACCTTCTCAATTCTCTGTATAAATAAAATGAAAAGCTGAATATTAATTATCCTCAATATCATGTGTCAACATCATAAAACACATCTCAAGAAAATATGAGCAATGCAAGTCCACTATTGTTTTTGAAAGGTCTCTTCTGCTCACCAAGACTGCATTTATATGATCAAAAATACAGAAAAATCAGTAATATTGTGAAATATTATTACAATTTATAATAATAGTTTTCTATTTGAATATATTTTAAAATGTAATTTATTTCTGTGATGTAAAGCTGAATTTTCAGCATCATTACTCCAGTCTTCAGTGTCACATGATCCTTCAATAATCATTCTAATATGCTGATTTGCTGCTCAAGAAACATTTCTGATTATTATCAATGTTAAAAACAGTTGTGCTGCTTCATATTTTTATGGAAACTGTGATAATATATCTTACTAAATTTGGTATTAGTCATATAATTTTTTTGGACCCCATAACACTCTTCAATGAATATATTGCTGTATCTTTGGAGCTCCTGTGTGACGAAATGGTTTAAACCAGTTTTATCAGCAACTCTAAGGATTCTACATGAAGACAGTCATCATTGTTTCCTCATTTTACGTCTTGTAATGAAACGGCACAACATAACAAGAGAAGGACTATCTGTGAAAACTTTAAGAGAGCCATGCGCAGTAATAGCAACCCAACAGGTCTGACTTGGATTTACAGCAGAGCGTGTTAAGTTGCAGGTCAGAACCTATAATTAGACGTTTCCTCATCCTGGACTAATTTCATACCTTCACATAACAGTCAATTTGAGCTCTCCACCAGGCTGTGTGTCATAAAATAAAAAGGTTCAAGGTTTACGAGTGCTTTTTTCCCTCCTCGTGCCGCAAAGGGTCTACAGAGAGCTGTGTCTCCGAGAAGCGGCGGGTTCGAGGCTGAGGATAGTCTGACATGATGCTTGGGGCTCCGGGCCCGACGCGAGGCAGCCTGGATCGCTTTCAGGCCACCCAAACCAACCGGAGTATTTTTATTTAGTTAGCTGGCAGTCATTGGAAATTCCATCTTTGAAAATACATATTAATGATGCTGAGTGCCTGCTCGTTACACAGCGCTGGAACTGCGATTTCTATTAGCATCGTTAAGAGCCGAACGGAGGTCTCGTTTTGCACTCGGAGGGGGAATTCGCAGCAGTCTCGGTGTCTGGGTCCCGCTCCAAATTGGGCCGCGAGCGATACGAGACTGGAGCCGCTGCACTTTTAAATAACTCTTGTCAAGCGGCTGGCCTGAGACAGGAGAAATGTTTTGACTGTGGCTTATTGACTGAAAAGAGCAGCGGGGGGATTCGATGTTTGAATACTATGTTTAGCCGCTGATTAAATCAAAACGTTGACCCACCTGCTAATAGCCAAATTATACCCACAACTGACGCGGTGGCCGTATAGGAGGACGTTGGCAAATATTTGATTTGGCCGCTGGTGACTTTCATTTCGTGCCAGTGTGGTCTGGATAAAGGGAATCTCAATTTGTACCACTGCTAGCAATGAGATTTCCATAGGCTGAGGCCCAAGATATATTTTGGATATCTAGTGTAGTACTGTATATTTCACTGAGCGCCACTCGGTGATTAACAGCCCGGGGCAGGCTAGAATTAAATTTGTGGGGCATTTCATTCAGACGCACGGCTGAGTTTAGACGATCAAACACGGATGAGTTTAAAGCGCCTCTGTTTTTGCGTGAACGAGAGTCAGTGTTGTAGATACGAGGCCTGGGAAGAGATTTAAATGAGCCGTAACATCACTCTCATGTTGAAGAGACTCAATAAGACTGAAGCTGATGACACACACTTTGAACTTCAGTTATTGTTGAAAGAGCAAACTGCTTCAGGTTCACTTTCATTTCACATGCATGTAATTCCCAAAAATTTTACCATTACATGCTACCATACATAAATGATGATGGTAACATGCAACGATACAGAGTTATTACTATGGGGGGAAAAAAACATCATTATGTATACACAAAGAAACTCAATGTTTTTTAACCAAAGTGGAAATATTACAAATGAAATGGGTTAGGAATTATATTACAATTAAAATAATATAGTATAGTATTACAACAGCATTGTATATGGCAAAAATAATATGGTAAAAGAGGTCTTGGATAATAAAAAAAAAAGAAAAGAAAAGAAAAAAAAAAAAAAAGAAAGAAAGATCCACTTTCAAATGCAAGGACATTGTGAATTAATTAAAAAAATAAAAAATAAACAATAAAAAGAAAACAACGTTTGAGTCTTTAAAAAGAAAACACCCTCAGAGATGCTTTTATCATGTCATTCAGACTCAAAAAACTTCCACTATATTAAGTTCACATTACTGTTCTTTCAAAGAACAATCTGAAAGTGGAAAAAAAAACAAAAACAAGAACTATCCAAAGTCATGTGAAAACCCAAGAGTTTACATGGCCGTTTTCGGCATTTACGATTTCCTAGGGAATTTGCAAAGTACAGATCACCAGTGTCCCAGAATAGAATCCTGCTGTCATCATGGCATTAAGGCAAAACAATGCGGATCCCACACATCATGACAAAAACACTTTTAAACATTCCCATCCGAACGCGGTCGGGAAAATAACAGATTGTCAAAAGATCTTAAAGGGTCCTTGGGAAGATGGATGATCTGCCGGAGGAAATACAATCCACACACCGCTGACAAAAGAGAGGCCATCGCCGGCTGATCAAGTGTAGCAGCAAGCGGATGAATTATACCCTCATCCGAGCCGATCGCTGCCGTCCTGGACTGGACATCTGACAGATGTTTGACCCGCGAGCTGTGGCTTTGGAAATCCTATGAAATAATGGCCTGAAGTATTTACACAAGTGCTGTAGTTTATTCACAGCAGTGAGAAAATCTGGAGAGTAAACAGGCGATGCAAATGAGGGCTTTGAAATGGTCTCATTTACGGTAATAAAAGTGCTAAGAGTAGTAATAGACTCATATACTGACTAAGCCATTGAATCAGAACATATTTAGTTTTTTGGCAAATGGACTTCTGTAAACATCTCATGGTTTTCAAACACTCTAAAATTTGATTAGTGACCAAAAAATGCAGAATCTTAAAAACGTCTTCATCTTTTGTAAAATATTTAAATATAAAATAATAAACATTTAACAAACAATTTAATAATACATAATTGATATAATAAATTTAATTATATGCAGACATGCATATAGATAATAATATATATATATATATATATTACAGAAAATTATATAAATGATGTATAATGTTTTTAAATGTTTATTTTGTTATATATATATATATATATATATATATATATATATATATATATATATATATATATATATATATATATATTAATATTATATAATATTACATATAGACAGGAAATTATATATATATTCCAAATGTTTATTATTTTATACACACACACATAAAATAATTACAAAATAATAAACATTTAAATACATAAATAAACATGTATAAATAAATTTTACACATATACAAGATTATAAAGAATACATTATAAAATAATTAATTATATAATTAATATAAGGATAAATAAATGTAATAAAACTATATAAATGATTAAATTATATGTGTGTTTATATATAATATATACAATACATTTAACATAATAATAGTTTTTATAATTTTAGAACATTTAAAATGTATATAATTGTATATAAATCTGAAAAATAAATAGCATTTAAAACTGAATAATTATAAACATTTAAAAATGTAAAAATGATAAGCAAAATCAAGAAGAAAAAAAAGAACAGATGCTTCTACACTGGCAATTGAAAAACCCATATTAGTCAGCCTATATATATATATATATATATATATATATATACACGCGTATAACAAGTGAACTTATTCTGAAATCTGACAACTACATGATCACACATAACATGTGTAAGCAGCAGGTAAGGTGAGCAGATGGAAGAGCGCAGGAAAACCAGACATGTGCTGTTAGTCACCAAAAGAGCTGGTTAAGGAAGACGAGGGGGTGGCAGCGGGTGAACGGGGCACTAGATAAAGCAGCACAGTGCTGTGTGGTTAAACCATAAAGCTCCTCTCTCCAGGACTTCATGAGTGGGGCAAAGTGGGAGGCCCAGAAGGATATGGTTCCTTATTCTCAAAAGGTTGTCCTGATAGCTAAAACATACCCATTAAAACACTCAGTAGGAACAAAGTTTTGGGGGAAACCGCAGGCTTTCTTGGCCACATCCAGAACTGACTGGGGCTCAGTTTTAATTGAGAAGTCTCATGATAATACCCCCTTGTCCACGGTTCTTGCTTCAGACCTTTAATTACATCTTTCAGCTGTGACCATTTATTTCACTTGGCACAGCAAGAACAAAAGGATAGAGTTCATGTTCATCTCGCAGAGATTCAGTGCGTTTAATCATGTATCAACGTCCAATTTGGACTGATAAAAGAATTGCATCACCACATCGCTTTCCTAGATTGGACTGAAAACGCTCCTGTTGGCGTTTGACATGTCGATTCCTGCTCTCTAGTTTCACTCATAGCGTATTTGCATGTCTGTCTGCTGTGCACAGAGGAAAATATCACAATGGAAACTCAGATGAGATGTTAAGACTATTAGTGGAGGACGATGAAACCCAGTCGGACCTACTGACAGCAGTCGGAGCCCTGCTTTCTTGTCTTTTATGGAGCAGTAGTATCAAAACCACATGTTTCAGTGTCGTCTCAATATCAGGTGCTTCTGTGGTTCATGACTACGTGTTTAAACACCTTGTTTGGGTCAAACTTCTGTTCCACAATGATTACAGGAATAAAGTGCACTCGTTCATAGTGTAATTTAAGTGCACACGCCGTCTGAGCTGTTTGAGCACTTGATTCACTAAAGAAACTATATTGGAAATTACTGATGATTAGTATTTGCACCGATAACTGCAATCTAGACAGAATAATTTGACAAACAATGTTGAAAAAAAATGCACAAAACCTTTTACTAGGCTAGTCACTGCTGCTATAAGCACAAAGACAAAAAGATAAATAAATAAATAATTAGTTGAAGAGGCTGAATTACATAATTATTGTACGAAAAAATATATATATAATTGTATTATATTTCAAATAATATGGTAAAAGTATGATAATATGGTTTGATATATATATATATATATATATATATATATATATATATATATATA